AGTGCATTCCTGACACATTACAGGCAGGAAATGGCTGCATTTGAATAAAAAGATTTTTTTACTGGCTCTGGCTGGCTTGGAGTTGATTTTCTTCATAACAGCTCTATGGTGCTGTGTGTTTTGGACAAAAGTGGTGTTGGTAAGAGACCAGTCTTCTGGCTGTTGTGGAGCAGCACTTGCACAGCATCAGGGTTTTCCCTTCTTCCCACTCTTGCCCCTGCAGCGAGTAGGCCAGGGTGGACACAAATTTGGGAGGGGACAGAGCCTGGACAGCTGACCCCAGATAACCAAAGGGAACCAGGCAGGGGGTGCTGGTCTGGCATGTAGCCATTGCCTGGAGTCTAGCTGGGCACCCTTCTACTTGTGGGAGGTGCTGAATGATTGCCTTTGTATCACTTTTCTTTTCCTTCTTATCCCCTTTTCCTTCATTTATGAAACTGTTGTTGTCTCGACCTGAGAGTTTTCTTGTTTTCACTCTTCCTCACTCCCCGGCATCATTGGGTTGGGAAATGAGGAAGCTGGGTGGTGCTTAGCTGCTGGCAGGGCTTAGCTCACTGCTGTCTTCTACAGCAGAATACCTGCATAAATACTCTCATCCTCCTCTCCTTCTGCTTTTAAATCTCTTAAGTTGTTTGTTGACTGAGTTACTATCTCTGTAGGCAGATGTTGAACAGCCATAGTTATTTTATCTGTCCTTACAATTTGTTATGCACGTATGCTATAGATCAGGCTTCTGTGGCTCCCTGTGTATTCCACAATCTTAACCAATGTGTTTACATACTTAATAGCTAAGGCTGATACACTGGTGGAGCCTAGATCAAATGTTTGTGGAACACGTGTGTAACTGCAACATGTGACCTCTGCTCTTTCTGCGTAATTAATGGGAGACAGAACAGTTACTGTCCCAAAACTTCTGTGACTGTGGTTTTTGCATGTTCTGGCGTTCTCCTCATGTCTTGTAAAAAGGGGCATGCGTGCATATTTGCACCAAGTCCTGAATTTTTTCAGTCTTTCAGTGGTTGTTTTAAACATATTAACCAGATGTAAAATAAGGGAAGAGGTCTTCAGCTTTCCACCAAGATTTCCCACACAGAGACGTGCTGCTTGTTACATTTGAAAGATGTCTTTGAATGCTGAGAGCTAATGCTGTGTCAGCTGACTTTTTTTACTAGGAAGTGGACATTAACCTCTTAAACTGATTTCTGTTACCTTTGGGTAATGGAAAATTCCCAGTGAGAGGGTATGCTATTATTGAGTTGTGTTCTCCTAAAGTGAAGGAGCTCGTAGGAAGAAGCTTTATTACTAGTAAGAGGCTGGTGATTGAAGGTGGTGTCAGAAGGGCACTGCTCATCAAAAAACTGATTCATGGCCATAAAAGATTTCAAATCTGTATTGTCTGCTACTAGCTGAATAATAAAACACTGGTTACTGAAGAATTAATTTTGCTGCCGATTAAGGCTTTATTTGTGTGTTGATTTGTTTTCTGATCCTATTTATTGGTTTCTTAATTTGGGTTTGTATTAGGGTTTTGATTGGAAGGTTTGTTTTGTCTGATGATCTTGGAGGCTACTTAGCAAACACTGGTGCTTTGCCTTCTAGGGACTCCTGAAAGTAAGAGAGAAACTGAATCATTTTTGGAGTTTGTCTTATGCACGAGAATGAGAACTCTCAGGATTTTGGTGGATTATAATAGTAAAGATGTGAGGTAAAAGGCTCCGGATGCTAATGCTCTTTGTGAAAGTTAGCTGGAGGTCAGCACCAGGGAGGAAAGCAGAGACTTCCTTTGCTGTTCAGTTCCATTGTGAAGTAATCACTTCTAAATCACTGGGAGAGATTTGACCACTCTGTAAAATTGTCAAGGGACTGAGAAACCTAAGCTGTTAATTGTTCTGTTTTTCAGGGTATCCTTTGAGTTTTTATCTTCAGGTAAAATACCATTTTAAATTGGAAGAGGTTTCTGTTTTGATGTTGTTTACTGTCTCATAATGAATTGATAGCTTGTGGTGTTTTTTTTAATTGCTTACTATTTCATTTACAGCTTTCTAAGCCTCCTGTTGTGAGCCAGGTGTCATATGTGAACAGCTTGGAACATCTCTTGAAGGAGAAAGAAGAATCTAAAAGGTTTGTTTCTTAAAGCTGCTTTGAAAGATTTGGGATGTAGTAGTAGAACCTTAGATTTACCTCATCTCCCTGAAACTGATGGAGTTTGGGTGGCAGCAATGCAAGCTTTGTCTGCTGATGCCACCAACACATGCCTGATGGGACCTACAAGTGCAGCTTAACGGTAAAAGCTGAATGACAGGCTCCTTCCAAGCAATGATGAGTGATTTGTGATAGATGTATCTGTCCTTCAAGAGCCAGACTGAATTTACCCATGCCTTCGGTATAGGTCGCTGAGCCAGCTAGCAGCTGCTGATCAAGCATGAAATAGAAGTATTTATGTAGACTGACTGTACTAGTTTTTTTCAGAGGCATTTGTAGCTCAGTTTTGGTTTCCAAAATTGTGTAGACTTGATATCTGAGTAGTTACACAGTTCAGTGAACAGAACTCATGAGTGTTCTTGTAAGAAGTCTTTTGGGTAGAACTCTGGTATATGGGCTAAGTGGCAAGTGGTGGTGATGGGTATATATGTATGGTTAACTGTTTTGATTAAAGAATCTGACCCTTGTTACTATGGGCTGACTGACTATGGAGTAGTGACTACTCCTACAACCAATATTATTTAACAAAATAAAAACATGATGTTTAAAAAAAAAAGAGATGGAAAAAAATTCAACTAGAAGATTGAAAGTTCTGTGCAATTACAAAAAATTATATCGGAATTTGGTTGAGTATATTTGTCTGTGACAAACTAGTGATTGATTGTGCTGTTGGAAATTGATTAGGTTTTGGGAAACATCCACTTTTTATCTTGGGATAGTAAGAGGCTTGGTTTGTATGCAGATGGAATGTCTTGCATGCTGTTGCTGTGCCTAATTGGCTGTTGACTCCTGGGGTCACATTTAGAACTTAAATTTTGTTGTCTTCTGTTGTATATGCTAAATGAGGATGATATGTTCTGCTGCTACTGTTATTTCAGGGTAGATGAACTAGAAAAGTGGTTACAGGAAGACATACGAGGAGGGGAAACTGATTCTTCAGATGGAGATGATGAGGAGGATGGCAGTGGAGTTGAAGATCTCTCAGAAGAACACAGGTCCTTCCAACTCCAAAACCAATTAAATCTAATTCTTCCATTTGCTATCCTTTTTTCCTAATCTCTCTCTTTTTCCATCAGTTGTTGTTAATGTATTTTGTGGGAACCATTTTTATCATCTTCTGGGGTTGGGTAGATATTCTTGGACATTACTGTTTTGTAACAATTCGGCTTTCACGTAAGGCTGATGGTCATCGTCTGAAAAGAGCGGTCTCAACCAGCAAATATTTTCTCAATCTTTAAATTCATAAAGGCTATTTTTAATTTTACAGGGTGTTTATAAAGAGATTTTCAGTAGTAGCTCATGCCATACCTAACTACCACCCTGGAGAAGAGATATTTGATTTATCAACCTCTGGAAAAATCTTCAATCAACATAACCTTGACTTAAGGAATTTTAAGTTCGTCCCTCAAAACCCTATAGAAAAGCTCCTTCTTACGTAAGAATATCTTCTTCACTCAGTTGTGTTTACTTGTTGGATTTTCTTCAGTGTTAACAATTTTTAAGTTAAAATAGTATCTTTGCATACAAATAGTCTCTGTCTTACTAAGTAGGCAGAACTGACTCCATTTCCCTGGAGTTCTCCTTTCCAGATTAGCTTTCCAGAACAGTGAATTGTTACTTGAAGCTTCCTTCTTTCCTCCTCTGGAATTCTTGCAAAAACATCTTAAATGAGATGTAAGAAAAGAAATAAGTGTTCTGGCCTCTTCCATAATTCTGCTGTGTTGGGCTAACTTTGGTCATCTGACCAGTTTGTGCAAGATAAATACACGAGTGAAATGTTAGAATGAACAAAAGCTTAACTATCCCAAGACAGAAAGAGGACCTTTGTGGTGAACTGATTTGTGACCTACTGATGCTGCATTGTGTCTGCTGAAAGACTTTGAGGTGTTTTCTTCCTGAATCAGGCTTTACCTGATGAGGACTGCAGAAAGTCACGATTTCTGTCACCTGTTAGATTCAGTCCCTGAGCTACCAGTGTGTCTGTGTGTACATCAACAACTGTCCTGTAACTTATAGGAATTTGTACTCTATATTTATCAGGCTGTCAAGGTACAAGTAGCTGGACAAATTCTCACCTAATACCACAAGTGCAAATCCTGAAAAATTCTTGCTATTTTAGTTGGCATTTTATTCCAAACTTGCATCAGTGGAACAGAATTCATTTAATCTTATAGGATTGGGTATATATGTGTATGTGCTATTGTGGGTGTGAAGAGAAAGAGGGTTGCTTCTCATCTCTTGAAAAAATGATGTTTGTGAAGCCTTTGGCTTCAGGAATCTCTATTAATATGTTTTGAAGATCATAAGGATACAAGCTTCAAAAGTATCTTGTAAATCAGTGACTGGAGGAATGAGAATTAATTGCCTTCTGCAAGGGATGATTCGTTTAGGATTTAATTGCTTATGCATTCTGTCCAGTTGGCACATGGATGTCTTCCTAGTCACTTGCTCAGTCAGACAGGTATGGGGGTATATGGAGAAGTCAGGACACAGATCTCTCAACAGCACTACCTGTTTTAGCAGATACTGAGAGTAGAGGAGAAAAAAGGATATGTGGGAAACTGGATATCGTTAATTCAGCTGCGTATCACATACCAGACTTTCTAAAGAAGACTAAAGCTAAAATAATTCAGTAATAAAAATGACGTATTTTCTGTTCTCCCAATAGCTGCTTTTTTGCACCTCACAGTTTTGGACAGTGAGATTAGACTGATTTTAATTGCTTTAGTTTGCCTCCAGAGTCTTTATTTAAAGGACTATTTTAAACATCTCATAGTTGTTTGGTTTTTGTTTTTGTTTTTCCTTCTAAAACTGGTAAAGGTCCTTGGACAGTAAAAAGATCTTACTCACTGGTATCATTGAGCATAGCAGCCCGTCTGTGTAGACAGGCTTCATGGTTCACATTACAACAGTGTAAATCAATGTTTCTTTGAAGCTATTATTCTCTAATAACAAGACTTCTTTACTGTAGTATTCCCTATAGATAAGAGAATAAGAATAATGTGGTTTGGATATTCAGAGCTTTGCTGTTGATGATGATCTGAGGGGTGGGGAAGTTCTTAAGCTTTTGTGAAAGTGCTGATTCAACCACTAATTGATTTTTCTCCACTTTCCCCACACCCATCTTTGTTTTTCAGTTCTGGTGTAACACAGCAGCTTTCTTTGGTTATTAATGGCTTTCTAAGTTCTGCTTACAGTTTTATCTTGTGTCCCATACCAATTCTAAAGTGGCTTTTCCAGGTAAGGCTATGCTACTCATGCAGTTACTCTGTGCAGGTATAATATTCTTCCTGGAGGCCAGCTGCAGGAGGAATAATCAGAACAAACTTGTGAATCTGTTGCATTAGGTTAACAACTTCTAAAACAAAAAAATCTTTCTTTCTGAGTTCTGATTTGCTCTCCAGTCAGAAATACTTTGTCATTAGGGGCAAAACACTAGAGAGAGCTTTTTTTCTCCACACTTTGAGTGCCTGCAAAGCTGCATGTCCCTGTCCATACATGTTACTGCATTTGAAAAGGGCACAGTACATGCTGGGTGAGAAGATGTGATAGCATGGGCCGAATCACAAGCAAATGTTAATCTCATTTCCTTCCACCTTTGCGAAAAAAAAAAAACAGTATTTGCTGAAGTATGTGAAAGTACCATTCCTACATGTATCTCCTTCTAAGTTATCAGAGACACCACCTGCATTATTGGATGGTTTTCATTTGGAAAAGGTTGACAGGTATTATGGCTCAGGAAAAAGTCTGGAGCCATTCTCAAGGAAAATGTCATGGCTGTCTACTCCGTAGATGTCATTGTCAGTGTCTAAATAAATCCCCAGGCATTTCCATTGTTCTTTTTTTCACAAAAAACACCTCTCCAATGTCCATTCTTTTATTACTTACCACATTCTAACTGTGCTTAAACGAATAAAAGAAAGCTGGACTGCAGCTGTGAAATTGCAGCCTGGGTCTGTTGACTGGCTTTCTGCTTTTGCCAAAAAGGGAAATGTTTTGCTCTTCCATGTCCTTCCCTCCAGCCAGTGAAAAATTGCCATCCACCCCTTCTGTGAGCCCTGGTGTTCCTCTAATAAGGAGGAAGTGTGAGCCAGTTCATCTCCTTTAGAGAGCAGGAGCTTGTCCAGCCCCTGGGAGAGAAAAAGAAGAGCTTTTTGTGGGGCTAGTGAAGTGTTCCAGGAAACCTGAACTGTACTTCATAGTTACGTTTTTATAGTTTACAGTTCTATGAAAAATTAAGTCATTCTTTTGGTTTAGTATTGCATGTGTTCAACTTACCTGTGACTGGAAGAGGTTGTAGTTAGCTGTGTTGCCCCTGTTCCTGATCAAGGAGTTCAGTTTGATCACAGTTGTAAATGGGTTCCAGAGGGATACATGATACTTTCCATTCTCTTAACCCTCAGTACCTTCTTAAGAATCAACAAATTCAACATGGGACATTCAAGAACATCAGGAACAGCACTCTTACAGCATTTAAATTAATTTTAAAGTATTCATAGCACCTGCTTGAAATAATCAGTATTTACAATATTCTATTCTCCTTGGTTTCTCTTGCTTTGGAGGCTTTGGGGTTGTTTTATTCTGTTAATGTTTCTTATTTTACAAAAGAATTGGGGGTTGGTTTTTTCTGGTTTTTTTTTTTTTTTGTTTTTTTTTTTTAATTAAAAGACAACTGATGCCATCATGGAACTTGGTGTTTGACATGCAGCTTCTTTTCTCTCCACAGATGATGTCTGTTCATCCTGACTATTGTGTTTCCACCCAGATTTTAGACAGATTGATGGAGATAACACTAAAAAATGGTGAGTATTTGAAGGATGGAAAACTGAGCACCTAAATGAAGGTTTTTTCCCTTGTGAAGAAAGGTTGTGGAGATAGAAGGGTTGTGGAGGAGGTAAAGGCACTGGCTTCGTTCTATGATACTGGCATGAATTTGGGTTCTTCTGTTACTTAGGTAATGCACAAGTGCTAGGAGTTGGTCTTGACTGAGTGTGTGCAAGCTGTACCACAGGATGTCGTCCTGGCAGGGATTTGCAAAGCAGTGCATCCAGTACAGAGCCTTTGAAACTCACTTCTGTTATTTCACAGATAGAGTCAACCTGAAGAAGAGCCCAGGCTGCTCAAAAGTTTACTCTTCTTTCCGTCTTTTACCTTAGAAGATGCAAACATTCATTTCCTAGCTTAAGGACCACAGGATGTCTTTCCCATAGTCATACGCAGTATGCAACACTGTGAATTTGACTTTCCAGATAAACGGCAAAACTGAAGAGTCATACACCTGCACAAAAACACTTTCAAGAATCTGCTTCAGCCTACCATACTGCTGCTCCTGTCTTGTGTTTTGCCTGCCTTTATCTGTATTCTCAAATACTTCTCCAGTACCAGTTCCTTTGTACATCCTCCATGTCTGCACTTTATTCAGATCCGTCAAAAGTCACAAATTCATTTAAGCCTAACAGCTAACATTTTTAAAGTAATGTGGTTCTCTTTACTTGCTTAACTCTGTCCTAATTGTACCCCATATTTTGAATGTTTGATGTTATACTGTGAACTGATAAGGGAGGGAATGTATCCTCCTTTGTTTTGTGCTTTCTTGGCATTAAGCTTGATTCTGAATGAACAGTTCAAGCTGATAAATGAGCATTCAAATAATTAAGACTGGGAAATATCCAAGCAGATTTCTGATGTCAGAGCAAGATCAAATAGGCTGCAGTTGCTCCTTGAAAGTTGTTATACTACTTCAGAATTGCCAGCTGTGGAGCGTGGTTCATTCTGAGACCTCCTGTTCCAGTGCTTAACTACAGATGTTGCTTTTTTTATTGACTTGAACATTGTGATCTGAACCTGCAGTGCATGGAGTGTTACATTCCTACTATGATAACACCCTCTTACCTGTAGCTACACAGATCATATATGTATTCTTTTAAAAGTCAATTTTGCCTCCTTGCTTCTTCTGCTGTTTGTGATGAAAGAGAGCTGTGAGTGGAAAATGGGTGGAGCTTTAAAGTAATTCACCTGTTACATCAGCCAAGATGTTTCTTTAGCATAAATACAGTGTTAGACTACATTATTTTTCCCCTTCATTTTTCTGAAAATAAGTATATCGTTCAATGTACCAACTCTTTTGAGATGAGAGTTGTTAAAATCCATGTAGACTGCTGAGCATATTGGTTTTCCTTAAAAGGAACTAATGCTAAGAACTAAATTTAAAACTAATCCATTCCATGTCTTGTCTTGTAGCTTCCATCAGTGATGAACAGTCTAAACCATGGGTTCCTTCCCTAGCTGATGTGTCAGCTGTTATTGTCAATATGGGCGTTGCGTTTAGAACTCTATTTCCGTTGCAGCATCTTCAGCCCAGCTTTAACGAATGTGATATTTTGTAAGTGTTTTCCTTTTTGGTATTTATTGCTTAGATCCTGTGAAAGCAAGCCTTGTGCTTAGAATGTAGAATTAGAATGTTCTGCTTTACTCTTCCTCCCTTCCATCAAGCCATACTCTTTAAATTCTCAGCTCATGTCTTAATAAGAGTAAATAAGCCAGAACTTGAAATAGCGCTGCCAGGTAAGGATTCTGCAAATCAGAACATTGTTCTTTGTCCTGCACTTTCCTAATGAAGGTTTACAAGGATTGTTGCCTTAATGGCTGGGCAGAATTCTAAGTAATTTGGTACAAGTTGAGATAAATGTGTGTGTGTGTTCTGTAACTGAGGATTATTTCGATTTGAAGACATTTTGAAACATGCAGGGGTTTCTTTATTGGGCTTTTTTCTTTAGTTAAATACAAATAGGCCTTTGTAGGCTTTAAAATTGTTGATTTATTGCTCAGATTTGTCTCTTTTATTAGAAGTCAGATGCAAGAAACAGTGTGTAAATCGCCAAGAGGAGACGTGACCTCTGCCAGTCCAGCCTTCTCCAGTCTGCCAGAAAATAACTTAATTAATGTGATTAAGGTAAGAAAACTCCAGTAGTGTGGGAGGGTTTTTTGTGGGGTGGGAGGGTGAAGGTGTTGCTTTGTTTTATGTTTTAGCAAAACCCCCAGTGTCTTAACCTAGCCCTGGGCTTGTTTTGTGAGTAGGTACTATTCTGGGGTTTCAGCTTCATGTTCAGCAGAGATCATTGCGGGCTTATTGCAAACTTGAAGAGTTTGAACTTGAACTGCAGAGTTCTACCACCTTGCTTTTCCACCTGTGACACTTTGTGAAGAAAACTTTGTTCCCTGGTGTAGAAGAAATGATACATTTTTGTGTTCCAGTGGCAACCAGAAGGGCAGTTGATGTTGAGTGGTTTGGTTTGTGCTGCCTCAGTGTTAGTGCAGCTCTGAGGGTATGTCATCAGTCCCTGTGCAGCACGACGTGATTGAGGCGGGAGCTTGTGGAAGGCAGGTGGAGCTGAGAGAGACTGTTCTGTGGAAATGAGCTGTTAGATTCCTGTGCTGTGTCCCACAATCATAGGTCGAAGTGGTGGTCATGCTTCACAGGCTGGTTCTCTGTGATCAAGGTTGTATGGTGAAAATAGTGACTTTGTAACTGATTTCAGAGTTGCTTGTGGAAGTATTTGCATCCTCCTAATTTCTTTAGAGACTTCTAATGTGCGAGTGGAAAACTCTCATCATACTTTAAAATAGGCTCAGCCAATTTCAGATTTTAATGCTTTTTACTTCTTTTAAAGTTTCTAGGTTTCTGTACAACAGTTATTCAAGGTGGATATACTGATCAAGAAATATTGCTGCTGCTCCTATTGCTATTTAAAATAAGCTTGGATAAGCAGTTAAAGCAAGTTCCGTTGGTGGATTTTCAGTGCCTTTTCATAAAGCTTCTGATAAGTATAAAAGACTGGGATACAAAGGTAACTTCATAGTTTACTAGATTTATGAAACGGCAATTTAATTTTCAAGAAACTTCTGTTTTGAAGGTTTTTTTTGTTGTTGTTGACATAGCAGAAAAAATACTGCTTGAAAATGTAACATGAACAAATTTGGAGCTTTGGGTTTGTGATGTTTAGGAGGTGGGAGGGTTTTTGTCACATGACGTGCTTGCCTGTCCTCTTCTGCAAGGGCACTGTTGTATTGAACTTAATCTGATATTTATGAAAAGAGCTGTATGTTTATAATGATTCTCTGAAAGAATGAAGAAAATATTGCACTATACTGATAAAATGTCATTAACATCAACCCGATCTCAACTACCCTACTGTTAAATAGTATTTAGCAAACTGCAGGTGCAGTGCAGAAGTATCTTTATGCACATCATCTCTTATTACATCAATTCCTTTTAACGTGTATGCTGTCTGTGTTTCTAGGGAGTAGGCGTGTACCCCTTTGCAAATAAAACAAACACCCACCATAGCTATTCTTCAGTATTGGGTGTTGTGTTGTTGTTTTTCTCTTAAAGATGCCTGAGCTCTGCCTGGCAGTGAGTGAACTCTCCAGTCACCACCATAACCTCCTGTGGCTTGTTCAGATGGTGCCTAGCTGGATCATACGTGGACGGTAATGACACCGTAATGTCAGGAATATATAATATCATTAACAGCTAATCTATTTGTAGAAGCTCAGAGACTGATAAATGCAATAGGTATTAAATTTTCTTTTGATTGTTCAAGTCTGCTTTTAAGTGTCAATTTGCTGTGAGTTCTGTATCTTAGAAATGAAAAAATTATAGTGTACGTGAGCGAAGAGAATGATTTGGGTCCTCAATTTCAGGCTTGGGGGGAAGCATCTAGGAGTGTTTACTGCACTTCTTTCTTCTTACAGAAGAAAAACTGCAGTGAGATAAGGGTACTCATATATTACTAGCCTCTTTACTAGTTTACTAACACCTATATTCTGAAAATTCCATTTAATAGTTGTAGGCAAGTTCATGTCTAGGGAAGCTATGCATAGCCTCATATACTTTGTAGAAACAGTGCAGATTTAAGAAATTCTTTGGGAAAGTATTTTTTTCAATTGTCTTTCAGGGAAGTAAGAAGACGTCTTAGCCTAGTGATAATTTTAAAGCTTCTTAATAAAAAGCATACAGAAATACCTGATGACAGTGACGAGCAGGTACTGCATATATGTGTTGTGTGTGTATAATTGAAAGTTTGGAAAATATATTATTGTTTGTGTTTAATGATTTAATACTGTAAGTTTAGTTTCACGAACCTTGCAGAGTGAGTAATTGGTAATTTTTAGTTTAGTATTGGAAGTAGATTTGTACACGTGTGTAACGTGGATGTTCTGCAGCTTGTAAGCACAGTATTGTTTATGTGCCTAAAAATTAATTTTGGTCACTGGAAAGAGGTCTACACTTCTTTCCGTCTTCCTTTTGCGTTGATGTGGGATCATTCTTTGTTTTCATAGGGCTGATCTTCTATTGATGCAATGTACAAACACATTAGTTTGTGAATAGTCAAAAATTACCCAAAGAGTGATAACTTCAATTTTTAATTACAAAACCCTTTCATGTTCTTGTCTTAGTTAACAAATAATATTGTACTGGCAATTAGTTTCCAATTTTCTGTCGCCAGTAAGCCGGTCCAATTTGTTGTTCATTGTATCTTTAGATGTCTCTTCTGCAGCAGTTTCTGGTCTACATGAAACCTTCTCATCTGCTGGAGGAGATGAGAGGAGGACTGGAGCAGCAGAATGCTGATGGAGACCACCTTCCTGCAGAACTAGAACAGGAGGTATAGAGCTAATGTTGCTTTTTTACATTTGTCTTTTTATACATCTTCTACCATTTTGAGAATGTTTATTTTTAATTTTGGTTAACTGAGGACAGTTCTGTGCCACAGAACACTTTTGTGCCAGTTGTATAATTAAAACATTACTTGTGTTCAATTTTGATTATAGTTATTGGAGGAAAGAAAGAAGTAGCCTATGGTGGAGAAAGCTGCATTAGGCTATTTTACAAACGGGGAAATGGTCACATTTTCTGAATGGCAAAGTCACACGGTTGTCTTGAGTCTTGTCTTCTGTAATCAGATGACCATCCTCCCTCCCTCCTGTTGTTATCGGTGGAAGCTGATGCTGAGCCAGACCTCCACCTACAGGCTTCAGAAATAGGTTTATGAATCTTTTATGAATCTTTTCTCATAAACAAGTATTAGAAAGATTTAGTGTTTCCATTCATCCAAAAATGGAATATTGGTTTCATTATTTGAGTCTTATAATGGAATCTCTTAGCAGAGAATAAAATTTTCAGTAATGAAAGCTACAGAAAATTTTGTAGGTTACTTAGGTAACTTAGAACAGTGTAATAATGTTTAAGAAAGTTTCTAATCTATGGATGTACTGTTTCAAATTAGTTAGTTAGGCAAATGTATAACCATACTTGTCTGTTGACCTGGCTGTTGGAGGAATCATTCCAGAAAGCAAAGACAGTGCTGTATCTAGATGTGAAAGTTATGACTGTGCTTTGACTGCTAATGCTCTTTTGATTCCTCTCCAGGCATACTACCTAATCTACATCCTTCTTCATCTGGTTGGTGAAGCTAGCTGCTTTGATGTTGTAAATTCTAATCAAAGGGTAAGTAACTTCAGTGGGTAGGTTTTTAGATTTTAAAAGACTACTTATCATGTGCATTTGGCCTGTTTTGGCAAGAGCTGTCATGTGATAGAAGATCACCAGTGGATAATAGTACTGAGGGAAAATTTTGTTCTGGGGCAGAGTAAATGCAGAAAAAGCTTTCTATGCACTTACTGCAGAGAAAGAAAACTCTTGCATTTCTGCAAATGGAACTACCTTAAAACATAAGGCTGTGGATCAACAGACATTTATTTTGTTAATCTTTCTCAGAAAGTAACTGGAGATAAACTCAATACAGAATCATTAAGGTTAGAAAAGACCACCAACCCGGCCCATCAACCCAACACTACCATTGCCACTAAACCATGTCCCAAAGCACCATGTCTACATGTTGGGGTTTTTTTTTTTAACACCTCCTGGGATGGTGTCCCCACCACCTCTCTGGGCAGCTTGTTCCGATGCCTCACTGCTCTTTCAGTAAGAAAATTATTCCTAATATGCAATCTAAACCTCACAGTTTAACCCCATTTTCTGTCGTCCTGTCGCTAGTTACTTGGGAGAAGAGACCAACACCCATCTCACTACAACCTCCTTTCGGGTAGTTGTAGAGATTAATAAGGTCTGCCCTCAGCCTGCTCTTTTACAGACTAAACAATCCCGTTTCCCTCAGCCCCTCCGCATAAGACATCTTCCCCAGACTCTTCAATAGCTTCATTGCCCTTCTCTGGACCCACTTCAGCCCCTTAATGTCTTTCTTATACTGTGATGCCCAAAACTGAACCCAGTACTCAAGTTGTGGCCTCACCAGTGCCAAGTACAGGGGCAAAATCACCTCCCTACTCCTGCTGGACATGCTGCTTTTGATACGAGCCAGGATGCTGTTTCTTGGCCACCCGGACACACTGCTGGCTCATGTCCAGTTGGCTGTTGAGCAGCATCCCAGGTCCTTTTCTGCCTGACAGCTTTCCAGCCACTCCTCCCCCAGGCCTGTAGCATTGCCTGGGGTGTTTGTGACCCAAGTGCAGGACTTGGCACTTGGCCTTGTTAAACCACATACAACTGACCTTGACCCATCAATCTAACCTGTCCAGATCCCTCTGCAGAGCCTTCCTACCCTTGAGATCAACACTCCTGCTCAATTTGTTGTCATCTGAAAACTTACTGAGGGTGCACTCGATCCAGTCATCAAATCAAGAGATCCTATGTACTTTTGAAGTAGGTCTGAAATTTTTCAGTTTAGAAGAAAACCGGTTTGAGAATTCCTAGTAAAATACGTTCAAACACATCATGGTTTTCTGTGCTGGAGTGCAGCCATTCAGCAAGTTGAACTGTATCTCTTCTGTTCTCTGTAGTGGCAGTTCCTTTGTACCAGGTGATGTGACCATCTGTTACGTAATACCTTCTGCTTAGCCTTTCAGTAATCTTAGATCCCTGTGATCATTTGCTGTGAGTGTTTCTGCTCCAGGGTGTTTGTGTACATCTGCCTCATGGAATCACTCTTGGCTTTTGAGCTGTTTGAGTGAGGCAAAGCAGTAATGTTCAGTTATGTTTCGAGGCTTAGGTTTCCTACTCAATGCAAAAAGATAATCGCAGAGTGGAATCTGAAACAAAACTGTATTTGGTAAAGAAAATAATTATATTGTAATCATTTTTGAGATTTGGTTTTTACAGATGCCTTCCTGAAAACTTGTGGAAAACTTTTATCTTTTTTTATGTTTTTCTTAATGGCGCTGTATTTATTAATGAAGAAATTTTATTGCTCACAGACCTGTTAGCCATCAAGTGGCAAGGGGAGTTTGGCTGAATGTTGTGCAGATTAGACTTTGTATAAAATCAATATAACTATTTCGTTTCCAGTCCTCTTCCAGTTAGATGGGGCAAATTTTCATGATCTTGGAGACACCAGCAGATGTTTATAAGTAGAATTTCTGCATGTTTCACCTGGAGTTGAAAAACTGTTTTTTAAAGTGATTGGAAACTTATAGAGAAGTAAAAGATCAATGCATAAACCTTGAAAATGTTTTACCTGCTCAGTCAGTTCCTACAAAAGAAAATTACCTGAGTCTTCACAATAGCTAAAAATGGCCTTTTCAGTAACTTCAGAACTTTTTTTATGCTGATAAAAGATATGAAGGGCACTGCACTTGTTGCTTTGGTGACAGAAAGGATTTACAAATTAGCTAGTTGGAACTTGAAAATCTGTGATATGTAGCTCTGTTATACTTTTAAACTATTTTTTAAAGCTCTTAGACCTGATTTACCAGATGCATACTAGCACCTGATAGAGAATCTCATGATCGTCTTTTCTTTCTTTTCCCCCTTCCTTACTCTGTATTTCTGTGAAAAATTCCAACTGAAGCATATAATTTTAAAATAATATATGAAGAAAATTTTTCATTTTGACATGGATTTAAATAGCTGTATGCTTTTGTCTTTATTTAGCAACACTTACTGAAGCTTTGTAGTGCCTTAGATAGGCACATAAAATGTGATATTAGGGAAGATGCAAGGCTGTTTTATCGAACTAAGGTAAGATGCAAGTTGTTTTTTTCTTGTTTGTTTTGGGGTGCGTTTTGAAGTGTTCTTGATGTGTGTTGTCCCATCATCCCAGCCCTGGAAATTCTAAGAGTTCCTCGTGTAAGTTTGTTTTTTTTCTGCTTTCTCTGTCTGCATTGTGTCTTTGCATGTACATAAATATATGCCTGTTTTAATGCACTGAAAATACTCTTTGCTAACAACAGAACTCTCGACAACTGTGAAGTGTGAGCTCGTCGTCCTTTTAGCTCAACTTCTAGACCCACAGAGTTGCTCTGTTTCTTTTCCTGGCAGTCACTGATAGTTGACTCTACTTTTAAGAGCAGAAGCTACATGCAGGGCAGGATACAAAGGACTAAAAATCTAGCCAATCTTGCATGTGACTCTGTTCCATTTTCAAATTAATGAGTTACTTAAAAATGTTGTGGATTTAAGCCAACAGTGTATGTAGCATCAAGCTTGGATAATTGCCTTTCATTTGCTTTTTGGTGTGGGGCTTACTAATGATAGTCCTAATTTTGTGACTTTGATCCTTTGCATGCTGTCATAGCAAGCCAAATCAGATCAGTGATAAAGTGACCGACCTCAGCTTCAGGCTGACCTTGGCTGCTTAAGCTTGAAAACAAACATTTGCAGCTGGGCATATGCTTAACTGCCAGGGAGATTTTTCTTTATCATTTAGCCAGATGAGTAGAGCATGGATCATTTTAACAGGTTAATTACTCTTGCCTTGGATTTTTGTATCTCTGGGCACTTTCACTTTTGTTTCTATTGCCCTTGCACTGAGAGGGGAAAATCTCACTCTGTTTTTCCCTATCACTTCACCTGTGTAGTAGTACAGTAACTTCTAGAGGATGCCAACTGTGCTGGTTTTTAATACAACGTATGAAGCAAGCTCAGTTCCGAACAGCTTGGATTAAACACCTGCTTGTGATTGCTTATGAAAAAGCACAGTTTGGTGTATAAGGAATTAATTTCAGAAGCAGACAGTGCTGCAGAGTTGGCTTTTGTGGTTGCAATTGCAGGCATCTTTTCTAGGTACAGTCAGACTTGTGTAATAAACCTACACTCACCAAAGGATGAGGTGGGTGTTTGGAGGCCAGAAGCTTGCAGGCTGATTCCAAACACGTAACGTTGGGGTGTCATGTGCCTGTAATGTGCTTGAGTGGAGCACATGACTTTGAATTCACAGTCCCAAATTACAGGGGTCTGCCTGGAGTTGAGGTGGTGATACTTTGTGCTGTGAAATTGTACCATCCTAGTAAAACTGGAGTGTTGGGTTGCCTGGGGTTTTGTGGGTTTGGGGTGGTGGGGAGAGAGCGGGGTGTGATTTTGGCTTTTATAACATAAATGGCTAAACTAAGCAATCTGAATTTGCAGGTAAAAGACTTAGTTGCTAGGATATATGGCAAATGGCAAGATATGATACAAACCACTCTGCCTACTCAGGTACTGTAATGAAACCTTTTTCTTTCTTTCCTTATTGCAGCATGTATTTAATGTTTCAGCATTTGAAAACAGCATACTCTTTAAAAGAGATTTTTAATGGCATGGCTGTGGAATATACTTAGGTGTGTTAGAATAGACTGGAATTAAAATTCTTACTTTTCTGGCTTAAATAAACTGAAGATTTCATCTTTATCCTTAAAAGTGCTGCTTTTGTAAATGCCTTGGGTAATCCCCTAAAATGCTAGTACTGAGTCAAGTCACTCAGGCCTGTCCCTGATGACGGTTAATAGCAGATGCTTCAAAAAGGACATAGGCCAGGAATGCAGTGATGCACTTCCTGCTGTGGTCTGGCAGTGTGTGACTTCCAGGCTGCTTGAGTCCAGGGTTCTACCCACGTATGTTTAATGGCCCTTGAGAACTATTCCCCCTTTGAATGTGGCGAATTTCATGCGATAATTAGGAAAAATCTTTCATACTCTGTAAAAGTATGCAAAGAATGTCATGATTAGTCTCTCGTTATAGGTGGATAATTTCTGCTGATATCCAGAGTTCAGAGGTGTTTCTTCCAGGCTGTGGCGGCAGGGCTTCTTTTGTAATGTGATCAGACCAACCCAGTCCTGTCCTGGAGTATAAAGCCATGTAAAAGCTTAGCTTTCTAGTATTTTAGCGTATCACTTAAATGAAATTTAAATTATACATATATGCTTAGTATTGGTTTCAGTTTAACATTGTGTAAGCAACAACTATTAATTGCTTCCAGCAATGTACAAAATGACATCATTTGTAGTGGGTGACATTTCTTGTTATAGAGGGAGGAGAGGATTGGACTGTAACACGTGGCTGCGGAAGCTACATAGCAGTTGATGGAAGTTGATAACGATGCAGCTCTTACAAAAGTTTTGGATTTTTTTTTTTTAGAGATATTTGGGGTTTGATTCACATATGGGGAAGCTGGCAAATGTTTCCAAGTAAGATTCTAGGGGCTTGCAACATATTGTGGAGATCTAAGCACCTGTCTACTCTTTACTTCTGTCATCAGTTTTCTCACTTGCTTACTATTTTGTTTTTACTCTTTAGGGAAAACTGCATGACTTCTGGGAGCCAGATTCATGAAATCTTGCCTAGTTCAGGGAGAATAACAGAAAAAATGAAACCAAGGAAGACACAGAATGAATGGAGCTTCACCTTGGTTGGAACAAAAGAAAACAGTCATCTGAGTTAGAATTTGAGCTCAATTCGGGCAACTACTAGAAACACAAGGATCTAATTTGATTAACATTGTGTTTACTACAAATACACTACTGCTGAAAAATTGAAGTGGGTAAACTGGAAAAAAAAAGGCAACAACTCTGCTATCTCTATAGCCCTGTCAGAATTGGCTAGAAATACTTTATCGTATTGGAAGCCGAGCGAAGTTTTCTTGTTTCCATTGTTAATCACAAAATGTATTTGAATATCATGTGTATTAGTTTACTTGCCAACACCTACCTGCAAGTGTTGTTTTAGGGTGGCTGGGAAGGAGCAGCCCTGTGACGTGGCATCTGAGTTGAGAAGCTGTTAGACCTCCCCTGTTGTGAGCAGGTGAGGAACGAGTTCCGAACTGGGCTGAAGAGCAGAATTGCCCACACATGTTAATCTGCAAAGCAGAATTGGTTTGACCATCTGGTGTCTAAAAATACAAAATACAGCAGTTACATGTGAACAAGTGACTGCTTGTCTGTTCAGTTGAGGGTGGAAACAGAGCTTAAGAGTGGTTGTGCCCAGATGGGTTAAGTGAAGGCTTCTTTGTTCTGTGGTTGTTTTATTAAATAACAACGTGGAATTTATTACAATGATGCATTGATTTTAACTGAGCTTCCTCATCTTCAGGCATTCATTTATCCAGTAAAGGTGACTGCACAGGAAGGGTTTCTATGAGACCAAGTTAAAAAGATCTTATTACACCAGTAGTATTACTTTTCAAAAATATGAGGGTTTTATACCTGCTGGTTTTGCCTGGGAAGAAAACACCCCCAGTGGGACCCCAGTAGTACCTCCAGGGTGATCATCAGCGAACAGGAGGACAGTGGTGATTAAAGGAGGGATGGGCAACGATTGCTTTCTTCCAAAATAAAAGGTTTTAATAACATGAAAATAACAAACAAAAACACCTGAGGCAGGCACTGAAACAGCACCCACCCCAGGGGGAGAAGCAAAAGAGCATGTGGCCTTGGGGTCAGAGGTTTTTAACAGGTAGGTAGGTGGGATTACAAAAGGCATTGTCCTGTAAGGATACACGGATGGGATACCTACAGGTCAGGGGTCCAGTGGGTGTTAGGGGATTGGTCTTGTGGTGGCTAAGCCAACCACGACCTGGGAAAGATGGAAAATTCTGGATGTATGCCTATGTTTCGGGACAAAGTGGTAACAGAAACCTCTGTCTCCAGGAGGCGCACTGCAACACAGTAGTATTGTTATACTGCTCTTTAAGAAACACACTTATGTTGGTTATCTGGCTTCAGCACTTTCTCTAAATTGAGAAATTATCCTAAACTCTCAGCTCAGAGGAGATGAGCATTTGGCCTACTTGGGTAAAAAGTGTGAAAGCTGCATGAGGTCTGAATTCCATCGTGTGAAGTGTGTGCACAGAACTCCAGGAGCTGTTAGGGAAATAATCAGAGGAAGAGGTGATCTCCTTTTGTGCTTTCTGTGCTAATGCCATGATTGAAATCTTACACTGGTTTGCCTGTAGGTTGTCTACATATATGAGGAGAAAGTGAAGGTGTTGGGTGGAAGCACCAAGTGGGATTCCCTCAACAAGTGAGATTTTTAATAATATCAACATGTGCATTTTATAATACTGTTTCTTTTTTAATTTTTATAGATGACTCTGTCTTGTCTTGTATGAGAAATTTCCTACAACTTTCCAAGATGAGAATGTAGAATAAGGCTCAAGCTCCCCCCCCAACCCCAAACCCACTTTCAAATTTAAATGTGTATATTGCATATAAAGGAACTGCTATAAAATGGACACGTCTTATAGGGAAGGTGCTTTATTTGCAAATTCATATTAAATGTTTTGTCTTTCATTTCAAGTGTTGGAGAGTTAGCCTAAGACTGCAGCATCTCTGTGCCCTTCACAGAATAATGAGTTTACCCTTGTTCAAACAAAAGTTACACTGCGGCATTTTCTGAGGGGTGGGGGGAAGAAAATCCCCTTTTTTAATGTCAACATGTTATTTAAGAATTGGAAGAATCTACCTCAAAGGGTATCTTAGTTTGGCAATACAATTGCTTCAGGCTGAAAAAAAAAAATTGTGATGTTATGTAGGTGTGGCAACACCATTCCTTGCCCTGCCTGTCTTTGACAGTGTATCAACCTTCCCTCCGGTAGCAGTTGCTTACTCTGTTGAATATATTGTATGTAATTTTATTAATGTTTCTATTTTTTCTCACTAATGTTGTATAAAGTTTAAAAATTTGCAGAATATGTTTACTGTATGTAATGTGTATATATTTTCTTACCATGTAAAGTTGAAGTTGCTGTCCTGTATATTTTGGAGAAGGAAAGGGGAACGATTTAGATGAGGAGCTTTTGTACTGCAGTTCAAAGTACACTGAAACTGCTGAGGTTTTTTTTTTTTTCCAGATGAAATAACCACTTTGATATTTACTTTTATTTAATAGAAAAATGAAAAAAAAAAAAATAAAACCAGACATGCTTTTCTAATTAAATGTCCCTGGACAGACCGGGCATACTTCAGCTCTGTTTCACAAAAAAATGGTCATGGGTCCTGTTTTGGTTGTACGGTACACGTTGTCATTCCTAGGTTCACAGCCTATTAGCGTACTATAAATGGAGAAAGTTTTGAAATCGTTCTTAGCTCAGCCAGTCGTGTGTTTTCATGCCTAATGCCTGTGTGTATACATTCTGGCATTTTCCCTCTCCCCCTCCTGCTTTGTGTGGACTTTTCCATCTGTTCTGTAGCTGAGTAGTAATTCCCCAGTTGCTTAAGTCTAGACGTGGGTTGAGTTGGGGCTCCTCAGTATCCTCACAGAGGTGATCCCAGAGCATTGCTGCAGAGGCTTTGCTAGGGACTGTTGGACTGAGCACTGCTTCAGGACTCCTGGAAAGGAGGCAGCAAACCTGCTGCCCGTGTGTTTCGATGACTCATTTACTGGCCCCCAGCCAGAAGTTCCATGCATTGGAAAAGGCTCTTTGCACAGTAGATGTCTTAACTGTTTTGGCTGTCTTCAGATAAGCATTTTGCACTGTTTATCTTTTGATATTATGTTGGCTGTATTAAGAGCCGTGTTATTTCATGTGAAATTAGGTGCACTTTTTTGCAGTAACCACAGACAAAAAAATTAAAGGCTGACTGTAAAATACACATTTATGGCTCTCTACCTTTTTTAATCATTATTTTCTGACAAGTCTCTGTATGGCTTAAAAAAACCACTTCTGGCTTTGAGTTGAAGAAACCTGCCGGCGAAACTATTTGCATGTCTCGTATTCTGAGTGCTTCTCTTTGGAAGTGGCTAATGGATGGGGATTTCAGGAGTGATTAATGACTTGCAGCTAGGTCTGGCTGAAGGTCAGTAGGACACGTACGCTTCATTGATGCAGTGGCTGCAGGAACTCTCTGAAGTCCCCAAAGCTGATAGTTGAGCGGATGACTAGAACAAGCACGTAAAGTGTGCCGTCATTATTGGCGGAGCAGCTGGTGAGGTTGCTGCCTGGTGGGATTTTAGAGGTAATGGTTCAGGGTGGAAAAGGACCATTTTTTAATAATGAGGGATGGATACTGCAGTGTTACTTTTCTGTGCACTGACAAGCCAGGTATGTCTCTGTCAAAGGTATACATTCTTAGCTTGGTCTAGCAGCCAGCTGAGAGTCTCAGAGATGGATGCGGCACGGGGGCTGCCAGGGAGACTATGCTGTCTCCTGGAGACTCCAGCAAGTGCTTCTAGGTATTTGGGTTACAAAGAAGATTCTGCTGCTGACCCTGTCCGTAGCAGAAACACTTCATGCCACAGTATTAACGCTGGTCTTGTATGTTTGTTTTCCTTTGTTCCCAAGAGAACTGTGGTTTGAACCCCAAGCCCTGAATTAAGGTTGACATATGGGTGATTCCCACAGCCCTTCATACAGAGGGGGTGAGTTTGCCTTATAGCTTCCCCCCAGGGTGCGGCCGGCCCTGCAGGGAGAGCCAGAAGGGAAATGAGCCCCAGGGGTCCCGCACTGAGTTGACAAAGGTCAGGTGTCTGCTGGGGGATAAAAGCTGGGACCACTGGCAGGGGGGGGGGGGGGGCGGGGGGTGGGGGGGGCGCG